GCCGGAGCCGGGGGTGTCCCCCCGGCCCGGGCGCGCCCCCGCCACGGCTCTGTGGACGCCTGTGCCCGCCGAGTGGCTGGTCCTTCAGGGCTGTGGCAAGGCTCTGCGAGCGTTTGACAGGATCAGTGGCCGACTCAGAGGGAGAGCAGCAGAGAGAGGGGTGCGCGGTGTGGACGAGGAGGGGCCGGAGGCCACATCCCCGAGTCACGTGATGGCGCAGTGGCTGGCCTGAGAAAGGGCCTTTGAACGTTCCCAGCCCGGAAACAGAAGGTCTTTGTTGGTGCGTGGAAGGTTAAGGGCAGAGACGGAGCCAGCTGGACGTCGTCACGAGCGGAAGGAACAGACTCACGTGTTACACAACTGTGCGGACTTTTTAAATGGAATATTTCAAAAGATTAGTTCGCTCTGGGATTGTTTCATCCTAATGGGAAGTGACAGGAGGAAGCCCTAAGCCGCCTCTGAGGCGGTCAGCCTCAGCCTTGGCCCTGGAGCCCCGTGCTGGCCTCTGTCAGGCTCTGTGCTGAAGCCTTCGTTGTTTAGCAAGTATGGGGTTTGTTGGTTTTTGCTTTAGGCTCTGTGTGCTCATGGAAGAGAGAGAGAGTGAGACAGGGAGAGGGAAATTGAAAAATCACCCCCCAGGGAGGTGGCCACGCTGCAGTTCCTTCTCCTCCAGTCTCCTCTCTGGCACAAGAGCCAGTGATTTTCACACCACTGGGTCTGGGACTCGAACTGCAGGTTTGGCCGTGTGGGGTCAGGCGCCTTAACCTCCACACTGCCTGCTGGCCCTAGCAAGGGTGGGTTTTATGGCTGAGCTTATCGGAGTTTACTTTGCTGTGTTTTATTCTCTTTCAGCCATTCATTCCTTTTTGTCAACATTGACACCAGTGTTTTCTGAGCACTGAGGAAGGGCCAGGCCCTGTGGGCAGTGAGCGTAAGGCGGGCAAGGTGGACAGCCCCCGCCAGCTACGGCTGGAAGTCCTAGTCGGGGCTGGGGGAGGGCAGGGTGTCAGGAGCACAGGGTGGGGTTGGGGGCAGACGCTGGAGGAGGTGGCTCTGACTCGCAGGCCTGCAGACTGCAGAGCGGCGTGCCCCTGGCGCACGCAGTCTGGTTTATTGGCATGTAGGATGTGATGAATGGGGTTTACTTCTGCAAC